GCAATCGCAAGGTCAGCAAGTTGACCTAGATCAGCGAGGATACTGATCTGATCAGAGGAGTCCTGTTCAGAATGCAACGGTAGAGCAAGAATGGGCTGCGGCTGCTGGCACATGGAGCACTTGCAATGGATCTGGACAAGCATGGTGTATTGCTTCTTGGCCGGAATAGCCCAAATGGCCTTACTATACACCTCAGTAAAGCTCTGAAGCTCCAACGGTGTAGCACTTGCCAATTGAAGATAGGTCAGACCAAGTATGTGTGCAAGCTTTGCTCGAGCGGCCTCACGTATATTATATCCAACCGCAGCAAGGACAAGAGCTGCTTGTTTAGGAAAGGGGGCGAAATGCTGGCATTGCTCTTTGTTCCATTGAGCACACGAGATGACTCGATAGGCAGCAGCAACAGGGCAATAAAGGCCAGCAATGCGCCTTTGCACTTCTTCTTGAACGTTGGCCGGGACTTCCGCCTGAAACCTTAAGACAGTATTACGTCTTCTAGCAATCTCAACTTTTTCCTTGCTACTCTCAATATTTCTTTTGCCAATCCCACCTTCTTGGCTCAACTGTGCTGAGGCAGGATTTTCCGGTAACATGTTGGCAGCCGCATCATCACCTTTAACAGCAGGAGGCTTTCCATGGAGCAAAGTCGGGCACTGGGCAGTATCCGATTGCTCCATGGCAACCTTGCTTGACTTCCCATCCTGATGATTGGCACATCTGGCTTTGTTCGGCTTATTGGCTGCAGTAGCCTTAAGTCTATCATCAGTGCGGATGTTAAAAGCATAGATGACGCTAGTATTAATCCCTATCAACTTGATGATATCACATGAGTGACATCGTGGCAGGAATAGAAGCGCGCCCTGATGTAGGGAGACGAGAACATTGTTACTCGCAGAAGATCCCGGATGACAAGCGAGATGTTGGCCGTTCTTGAGAACTAGCGGGATTTCTAGTTCAGTCTTACCAGTAATGCGGACAAGCAAGTACTGGATAGATCCCAGTTCAGCAGTAAAGTCTTCATCCTCTTGGGAAGCCTTAGGAAGGTTTTCTGGCACTCTCCAACCTTGAAAGGCTTCATTTTGGCTGAGAAATGTCTGGACACTCTGCAGCTTCACTAGTTCGGGAACATCCTCACATTTACCAGTCATAACAACGTAAGGCGCCTGTCTGTCGATGATCAGGAAATGTGTTTCAAGGTCATCCTTGTGCCAAATTGTACTAGCAATTCGTTGCTTGGACAAGGGGTGATACTCATCCCTTGCTCTGACATGGATCAATCTTCCTTGCCCAATCTTATCGCTCCCAGAGTGGCAATTCAAAAAATGTTCTCTAGGGTTCTCGGAAATGTGATTAATGGGTTTATTGCTCCATCTTGGGGCATCAACAACCTCTTGCAGCAATTGCACTTCAGTTCTTCCACAAGGAAGGTCGAAATATTGACATTGGGTGAGCGCATCGGCAGCGGCGACAGTAGCAGTTACATGGACAGCAGGTATGACAACATCAGTGCCAGCTAATACATGTACGATTCCTCTGTACTGCACCGGAATTTTGATGTACTCGAGATCCTGAATAATGTCTTGCATGTCTCCGGTGCAATTGTGAAAGGTGATCTGTAGAGAGACCTCTGTAGAGTTGAAAGGTTGAGTCACCTTCCAAGCAAAGATTTCCTGTGAGTTCTTCACATTGCAAATGTGAAATCTTGCGGCATGCAACGCAAGGCTGTCAGGGATGGTAAGCTGCTTTTGCCGAAGACCCAGGATAGCCTTCTGAAGCTGATAGGGGTCCGCAAAGATTCTCAGATACTTTCCAGGAGCAGTGTGGAACGCATTCATAAGCCTGTGCTGATTGAGAATGCAATGCACTTGAAAGGCTTCATCCTTAGTTCGGGCAGAGTTGATAGCATACGGAAGGTCAACGAAGTTGACACTATTGCCCGGCATCCCTTCAAGAGGCGCAAAGCGATACCAGACCTGGAGCTCAATTTGTGATTTGCCTTCAGTTTGTTTGAGCACCTTATCATACATCTCTTCAACCTTCAGCATAAGCGCTTGAAGTTGACTTACGCTGATCTTAGGCGCTCTGAGGCAAACAACACATCGATTCTCCTGATCAGTTAACGCAACGATGGGCTGCTCTCCCATTAAATTATTACGTGAATGAAGTGAATTAAATTAACGCAGTTCATGTATTCACGCTACATTCACACTAATAATTTGCCCTTTAATTTTATTTGCATGGCGCACGAAATAAGGCTTTTTGTACTGTGCGCCCCTAACTTCGTTCATAATATTCACCCCGGCTTTCATGCGTCCTTTTAGTCCTTATAAAGCCGGGTTAATATTACGAAGAGAATTCTATTTCAATGGTGTTTCAATGAACGAAGTGAAGCGAGAACACAATGAAATAGAATGAACGAAGAGAACGTAGTGCACGCCTCATAAAAAGACTTACTATTTGGCGTGCATTATTCTTTTCTCTATTTTTCTTCTTTCTTCATTCCTTTCCTAATTTTGCTTGTTGTTCAATTGAGTTCATGCGTCATTCATATCTTCACTCCTTATAACTCAATTAAACAAGCAAAATAAGAGAATTAGAATGAAGAATCCAGTAAAATAGTCTTGTTTCGTTCATAATAATACTTCGGCTTCGTGCTTTACTGCGTGCATTACAAGCCTTGTATTATTATTCTCTTCACCCTTATTCTACAGGTTCACTCCCTGGTAATACTATTAATGGGTCATTCCTGGTGATAGAAAGCATGAAGTCAACTATTCTCTCGTTTACACCGTTCATTCGTTCAATCATGCGTTTCACGCGTACGCTCATTTCTTCGCTTCCTTGTAAACGCATTCATTCACTTCTTCACTCATAAGGTTATTCCACAAGGTCAAGGTGGTAAGGGTGAATGAGTCCTTGAATCCCAGGTCAATCATAAGGTAACAGATGGGTGAATAAAGGGTGGATTTCTAAGTCATGAAGGTATTACTGTCACGAAGTAGCATGAACGGTGGATTCCTGGCGTACAAGAGGTTAATATTAGTACTGATGGACAGTGGTTAGCTTCCTACAGGCGGTCTCAATGGATGGGTGAACAAGAGCCAGAGGTAAAGGTTAACCGGCCCATGGAAACATTAGTACTGAAACTGGGGTAGATTCTAGGGTCTTATGGTTACCGCCTGGGAAGTACTACAGGATGAATGAGGCTGTCCAAAAGGTAAAGGAAATACTACTGGAAAGGAGTGAGCCTGCGAACGTGTGATGGGTGCTGCGGTTGGACTGGTCTCTAAGCCGGTTAGTAACTCAAGACATTAAGACTCAGCCCCAGATCAACCATTAAATCCTGTGTCTTGTTCACCCGTGTCATCATGAACCTGTTAACCGCACGAATGAGGGAGATGAAAAGGGCCCCTTTAAAGGACTTATTATTTGGCCCTTTTCACCCTCATTCTCCCATCCTGGCTGTTACCTTCACGACTCAACAGATTAACTCCTAGAGACAGAGGTTAGGGATGCGGCTTCCTAATGTGAGCTAATCCAAAGTCTCGACTGAGGTGTTTAACTTCCTCGTCAAATATTCCAACAGTGCCAGCGATGATGACTTCAGTATTGGCGGCTTCTTGCTTCATGGAAGGCGTTATGGCAATGTAGTAGCAAGTGTGATGGACAGGGTAGCTGCTGGGAATGTAAGTGACCAAGTATACAAGTTCCCGTTTGCCCTGCACTTCAATGGCACCAATAACCGTCAAGCTGTGGATTTGACGAAGGAAGTCTTCATCATAACTCCTGAAGAGTACACATGGGATGTCTGATATGGAAAGTGAGCTGTGCAAATTACTCACGATCGTTATACTCGTCTGTTGTGTAAGACCCTTCCTTAGATTATGAAGGAAATTCTTACTAGGGTTGACGAGTAAGATAGATTGGAGCTCTGAGCCCTGCACTTGGCGCAATTCTTGCATAGTTTGTGTAGACACGATACATCCATCTCTAAGATACTCCAGCAAATGTGTTGATGGTGTTCTGGCAAAGAGAGCATCATACTAGTGAGATGACCCAACATAAAGTCGGCAAGACACTGAAATGCGCTTCCATCGATGTTGCTAATTCGATCTTGCGACATGGTGCAGATACCTTACGCCGAAGCTATCCGTACTGCACAATGCGCAAGACAAATTTGCCAAAAGGTGCAAGTAAAGTAAAGAGGCTCCCACCCTTAGGAAGTTTGCAAGAGAGAGAACGTGCGTTCACACTCAACAACTTAACAAGGAAGGAGACGGGCGCTCCCAACTTTGATAAGGAAAGGGAACACAACGTAAAAGGTAAGAGAAAGAGAACGGGCGTTCTCAATCTCAGCAAGTTGCAAGAAAAGAGAAGCGTTAGAGAAAGAGAACGGGCGTTCTCAGTCTCACCAGGAGGCAAGAAAGAGAAACAAAGAGAAGAGAACGGGCGTTCTCAGTCTCGAATACTTAGAGAAAGTTGGCGGACAACTGAGGGCTCAGTTGACGCAACTTTCGAGCGCTCAACACACAAAGACTCGAGCCAATGCAACTTGCAAAATGTTTACAGTGCGAAATGCACAGCCAAGCTTCTTCTTGGCTCACAAAGGAACTGCGCAATGCTAAGAAGCCCAGCACACACCTACGCCTCCAGGCTGTCCCAGAGGGGGCCGCACCTGCAAGTAGGGTTCCAAGCAAAGAACCTTTAGAAACGGACTCCCACCCCTTCTATGGCTCCCTGGTGGCTTAACCCCTTGAGCAGACGCGCCAAAGGGGTACGGGAGACACCCTTAGTGTTGAGACGCCCCTGTTTGGTTTAAGAGTAAGGTCATTAAAGTGGTATTGTGCAGCGTAGAGGCGCACGGTGTTCGCCGTACCAGTGCTTCTTCTCCCTGGTTGTGGACATTTCTATGTGGAGAATATGCACCCACTGCCTTGGCAAGGGGCCATCGAGCATCTGTGAAGCAACCTGGCTTTCAAAAAGGCCGTCATTGCCTGCGCATGGCCTGTGGCGGGGACAAGCAGGCTCACCGCCTGCCTGGATGCTGCCTGACGGTGCTGCCTGGACCAAGGCAGTGCATACAATGGCAATTCTACCGCTCCTATTGGCCGCCCAACGTGATGCGAGCCCTCGCATCCTTGCCCACAAATCTCATGGGCCTTGGCTCTGGAGGAACCATCACCTACCAGATTGCAATTTCCGAGGCCCATGCGACCTTCCGGGCTTGTATTTGCATGGGCCCCATTAGGCTGCCTTCCTTGCTGCCAGCCCCAACGGGCGGGAAGACACGAATTTCAGTCTGTGGCGGACGAAAGGACGTAGAGACCTTTCAGCACCACCTTCGGATGTGCTACTCGGTGCGAGGCAATCATCGCGTACCTCCTGTCACAGAAGCCCTTTCCGAAGACTCACACTTCGCCGCCTTCAAGGGCCACGGACGCACGCAGTACCCCTGGACCCCCGGCCTCACAATCCGCCAGGTGGTTATCGGCAAGGACCCGGAGCATGTGGTGTGGCCTGCATTGCTCGATCCTGATTGCCTGCTGGCGGACCATATCGAGCTCCCGGAGTGGTTGTCGGGGCAGGGTGCCCTCGTGTTGCCACACAAACAGACCACAACCGAGGTACGCCTGCATTCTGGTGCTACTAACTGAACGAGGAACCCATTGTGTAGAGGGTTGTAACGCTTCTGACTGGTTTTTTCTCGCCTTTCTGCTTCTTTCTCCTGTGTGCTGTGCTTTTTGTTTGGTCCTCCCTTTCCTAAGTCCCTCTCTAGTTTTTGCAAGGGCTTTCCAGGGATCTTGGTGTCTGGAGGTTCTCCGCTGCCTGTGGGGTGGTCACATAAGTTTGCCTGCCATGTTCGGTGAGTGATGCCATGGAGTCGTATGCCTGTCAACCGTACGCGATCCGGGTTGGAGCGCAAGTGCTCCAAGTCCACGTTGCTAGAAGAGGGCAACTCACTGCACTTGCCACTTTAGGGACCAGTGATGTCGCAATGACCAGGCAGATGCAAGCCGGCGTCATCCTGCCTCACGAACTCGATGCTGCCGGTTTGGTGCCGATACTTTCCGCCGGAAATACAACCCTTGTTGTGTCTGACCATTCTGGCTTTTTGAGAAACAGCAACGCCGTCTGCTTCGCCCGGCAACCCACGGTTCGCTGTTTTCTCCTGCATGCATGGAGGCATCAGCATCATGCCGCATAGCAGTGCCCTCATGGGGCGAGCGGTGTCCACGCACAGTGCTTTGCTTGGTGACGCGACCTTCTCCCTTGCGCGAGTGTTGTCACCGAACAAGAAGCGGGTAGGGAGACAGCCCTGTCTTCCGGGCCCTGGCAAACTCCATCACCTACATCTAGGATCTGCTGGCCGGATAATAGTCCTCGCCCTCCCATGCCGCCGATTCCTCCACGTGTTGGAGAATACCCAGTGAGTAAGGTCAGTAGGATCGAGCCGCGAATTCCACATGGAGGCCACCTCCCGCGCCAGTTGCAGCCGACCTGCCACCTTGGCAGGTCCCTGGCCACCCAGGTCCACAGGTCCTTGCGGCGACCGCAATGCAGGCTATATGCCAGCTTCGCACTCTCAGTGCTGACCATGCGCCGGGGCCTCAGAAGCCTGAGGGATCTCGCGCAGGCACTAGAAAGCAATCAGAATTTCCCTGAGCCCACCCCTAGCGGCGTACTGCCATTGAAACTGGCCTCGGGAGCCATTTCCGGCGAACCGCCTGAGCCGCAAGGTCTCCACCCAGAGATTGACTACAATGCATTACTCGGCTGCCTACTTCCACAGCTCCGGGCTGCTGAGTCCGCAGGAGCCCATGTCCTGCTCTTAGTCACGGATAGTCGCTGCTTCTTGTCTATTCCGCACTTCCCCTACTTTGTCCGGCATTTAGTAGCACGCATGCAGTGGGAAGGCCCGTTTAAGGAGAGGTGGTTTCCCATCTTGGTTAACACCAAGGAAGCGGGGCTAGCTTCTGTGCACTTTACGTGGGCGGGGCCCGAAATTCTGGCAGTCCTCAGAGTCCTTGCGCCAGGGGTGGTCTTGATGTTGCTTGACCATGACACCTTGTTCACTGCCAGGTGGGAAGCAGAAGAGCTGCGAAGGTTTGCAGTCCTCGATCTACTGCCCAATACCCTCTCGACGGAGTCACTGGGCAGCATGGAAGTCGAGACGGACGAGACACAGCCCTGTGGCTCGCTTCCAGCCTCGCCGTGGAGTTGCTCGCCGGACGGGTCCATACCGTGTGGGGCCCGATCGCCAAACTCAATTGGCATGGTTTGTGCGTCCGAGGACCAGCTCGAAGCAAATGGGGGATTGGTCCTCTTCTACCCGAATGCTCCGGACGGCAAACATCCCCGGCCCCCTCGCTTCTGCATCCCTGGCAACGTCGCTAGTGCGGTGACCTCAATTGGTACTGCGTTGAGCCGAGCCCTGCAGCTAGTCATCATGCCCAGTGAAGTGCCCACTCCATTGCCTGGTATGCATGAGCAGGTGCCGTTGGACCAGATCCATTATCGGCAATGTCTACGCAACACCCCTCTTGCCGGAACCACTGCTCACAAGCACTCTGACTTTGTGTTTGCGTGGGCACTTTTAGGAAGATACATACATGAGGTTGCGTGGAAAACGGCCGACCTTACTGCTGGCCGGCCAGAGCCAGACATCCAGTTTGGCGCCTCCCCAGTCAGGCAGGTCAGAGGGGTCAAAACATGGGGACAAGGCCCATATGAACAGGGATTTCTTCCCTTGCTCATGGGTTACGGCGGCTCGCACTCCCGTTTGGCAATCCTACCTGGTCCTGACTTATTCATGGCGAACCGATACGCAGAGGTTATACCCCCTCCTTTTGTGCATGGATATGGTGCCAAAGGCAAAAACATCTTGCCGCAGTGGGGGAGTGTGGTACGGCTGCCTACTCTACCCGAGTCGGTCTGGGGCAACGGGGACACCGTCCCTCTGTGGGCCTCTGTTGGGAAAAAGGGCAGTGGACCAGTGCGGCTCCAGCTCTTCCCTGGGGTCCTCATGTTTTGGAAGAAAGATGCCCTATCTTCCTGCAGGGCCACCCCGAAATGGCGCAGTCGACCCAATACCCCAACTGGGCCGCTTGCTCTTCTTGCTGCCGCTGCGCATGCTTGGCTGGCCCAGGCGGATCTGCCGTGGCCTCTCTTCGCCGCAGACATAAAGGTCACGCCGTTGGGCCTCAGTCAATACTGGGATGATGGACTAGCCATGCGTGTGCAACAAGCCCTGGCAGCCTTTGCCTTTCCTGCCTACCAGTACCCGCCTCCAAAGCCTCACCTAACCCCCTCAGGGGAATGTCGGTCGCTCTTCATTAGCGGGATGAATGGGAAGGCCGAGAATACGCCCCCCACTGTGTCGGGTAGCATCATTCACACAGCCAATTCCTATGCACTCACTGGCTTAGAAATGGAAACAGTCCGGGACAACCAGGGCAAAAAGGTCCGATATGAGGACACACAACGCCCGTTGTTGCTTTCGACCAGCGGTAATGCCGCACATGCATTGTTGCTCCTGCCCCAAGCCGCCCAGCTATGGGCACGTGCTCTGTACCCTCAGGTCGAAGGATGCGGTCTGCCAGCGGCGGTTCGTGCTAGAATCAGCTCGGTAGAAGCCTCCCTGACAATGTGCCCTGCCCTGGCTCACTTGCACATGCCACATACTGCTGCGCTGACCGCTCTGCATGTGGGCCTCGCCGCGGGTAGAGCTGGCGAGTGCAAACTGTGCGTTACGGGTTTCTCTGCTGGGTCGTATACGGGCGCTGCTGTGGCTATCGCTTGGCATGAGCGCCAAAAGCTTCCTGACTGCAAGGGCGATTTTGTCCACATCAAGGCACGTTTGGGCGGCGTTGCCATGCCACGGGCCATGCTGCAATATATCCTGGGTTCGGAATTGCGGCACGCTGTTAGTCTTGTCCATCATGAGAGCGACCAGCTTTGTATCTTCCGGCCCAGCCAGGCAGCAAGGACGCAAGCGATTGGCGCGGGAGCGCGTCTCTACTACTTCACTGGACCTGAGTCACTTGGCAGTGGTGGACACTCTTATGGTCACTTTGTCCACAGTGAAGAGCTATTCCAGCTCACGCCGGGGGATTATGTGCATAAGGAATTGACTAAAAAGATTTGCGGCTTGGCCGACCCCCGGATGGATCGCACAGTGCGAGCAGGTTTGATGGGGGTTGCGTGTGGCTCTGTCCAGCTTTCGGATAAGTCTAAAACTTTCATCAACTCCGTGCTGGGACGGCAAATCAGACGCCCCGATATGGAGGCTTTTCTCCGGATACCTTCCGCTGAGAACCGGAGCATTGCAAGTCTCCGTGCTGACTGTACCCAAGTCCTCCTGACGGATGCCAAGCCGCATCTGGCTGATTTGCCGCCCCCGTATCATGAACTTGGTCCCACGATGAAACTAGTTTTGGGTATGTGGCTCCCCCACCTGTCGTTAGAGCGCCTGGTTGACATGCTGGGTTATCAGTTTTTAGCCATGGCCTCGGAAGCAGAAATCGAGGAGGAGCCCTCGGAACAGTATCACTACCCAGAGCAAGCTGCGGTCAAGCGGGCCGCCACCCCTGTGGCGATAAAGCCCGGCACGCATACATGGCCAATCTGCCTTCTCCATCGAGTTTACCCAAGGGCATCGGTCATGCTCCTTACACCGGAGTTGGCGGATGTCCCTGACTGGGCTAAAAGTGGTTTGCTGTCGCTGGTAAAGTGCCGGCCAAGGGCACTGCTTTGCTGGTTACCTTGAGAGAAGACAAGGGGGATGTGGCCTACCCAGGCATGTTTATAGAGCTCCTTGCCCCGAAGAAGCTTTTCACCGGCCCTGGAGAAAGTAAGGCCATGCAGCCAGTCAATATAACCATTGCCCTGCTCTTGACTGATGAACAGCACAACCAATTCGCGCAACGACCCTCACTGCCGAGAGTCAGCCAGCTTGAGGTTCTGCCCGGAGGAGCCTCTACCCCGCTTTGGGATGCTCTGTTACACATGCCTAGGGAAAGGCAGCATGTTGCATTGGGCGTTCCGCTAGAAGACTCGCCTCTTGATGCCATCCGGCAGCCACAGTGGTTGCCGGGCTTTCTCACAGATTTAGTGCTTGTCCTCCTTATCGGGCTAGTGGTGAGAGGGAACTGGCACGACACATGGGCACAGCTCATTCACCCGGAGGTCTGCCAAGTCTTCAGAGGCAAGCACGAAACGCAAGCTGCGCAGGCATCGCTTACTGCGGGTCCGGGGGTTTCCAATCCTATCGCAAAGAATGGACGCCGACGCTGCTGAGTGGCGTGTTAGCTACGCTGCCTGACTCTCCGCTGCCCGGCCAAGAGGACGCCCGGACTCCTGCGCTGTGGCATGCGGAGTGTCTACG